ATGTTGCAGAACGGGCACAGCTCTCGCGTTTCGAAACAGGTATTCGCCGGTCCGGAGTTCGGAGCGTCTTTTCTCAAGACACTCGGCGATTCGCGTCGAGTAAGACGCGGCCGCGAGAGTCGTTTAGCGAGATTTCCTTATGCATTCGCACACAGGTGTGCCCTTTCTTTTCCTACCGCGCGTGCGTCGTAAAAATACATCGTTGCCGGCCGGGCGGGTTGGCGTTTTGGAACTGCCGATTGAAGTCGCGCGGGGGACGAAAAAAGTAGACGAACCAGTCTCCGCTTAGGGGACCTCTCGCGTTTGTAATTCCTCTCGCCGCCGTCTGTTTCGCGGCGCGACGCTAAATGTGCCTTCTTAGGAGCTCCGGACAACGGAGCCGTCGGACGAAATTCTCGGCACGCGGCCCCATTGCACCGTTGTTCGCGCCGATTACCGGCCGGCGTTCGTGCTCGCTCGTTTTGCGAGAACCACGTTGAACCACGTACGACCTGGCCGCGTCTCCTGTCGAACAGTGTTCCCTCACGGTCGGCGAATCGCGATCGCCGTGTTAAACGGCTGAATTCGACACGGCCGCCGACCGGCGCCGATTTTCTATCATATCGATTTCACGCACTCGTGCGCGAACGCACGTCGGATTTCGCGGTCGCCAGACCGTTCATTAGCGTGAATTCCCTTATTTGTAGAGCAAACCGTGTGCCGTTTTTTCCTCGTTCCTCATCGCCGTCGCCGTCGCGAGTTTCACCTTTCCTCTCGTGGCGGAGCAAGCAAAACGTTGAATTCGCGCGGTGACGGTTCAGACGTGTCTCGTTTCACTCCTTCGTTTCCAAACGGATTAACGAGACGGGAGGAAAAAGACTGCGTCGAGCAACTTCGCGATAAGTATCCTTCGCAGGATAGCGCGAATGCGTCGATCTGATGATTTCTAATCGTCGGAGCGACGTCGGCGGCTTTTTACGGGCGTAGTGAATTTCCAAGCCGGGGCATGGCGTTAACGCGTTCACGCCCGGCGCGAATAGAAACGGGAGGGAAAAAGCGCCATCCTACTCTGTAATTTTATTGTCGACGCGAGAAACCAAAACGTACGCGCGCGCGCGCGCGCGTTTCCAGCGCCGCTCGTTCCAGCAACCCAGATCTCCGCGCGCGCGCGCGATGGAAATATACCGTTAAAACGCGCCACAGGCTCGCAGCCGTTACTCCTGTTCGACGAATCGTTGACTGGCAGGAATCTCCTCGGTTCCTCTCTTTCTGACACTCACGCGATCGGTTCGCCCGCGGATTGTTCCACACACACATACACACACATATAGTCCCGCGAGAAAGGATATCCGGAATTTCTACCTGTCTCCGCAGATATGTCCGTCGAGATACGTCCCGACAATCTCGGGTATGGCCGAAAGTTTCGCGAGATCCAGCCGATCGAATATTAGATAATCCACTCTCCCGTCAAAGAATAAAAAATTCAATCATTAAGATTAGTTCAATATCTTGTTCGTTAAATTTTCAGGTGTCTTTTAATGTAGCTTTCTAAATTCCTAAGTGTTGGGATTGGCACTGAAAAGCGAGTTTGGTTGAATCTACCTGGTGAACAGACAACCAAACGTGTTTTGCTTGGAGGAGGCAAAATCCCGAGTTCTGTTGAATCAACTCTGATTATTATGATCTAAAATTCGATTTCCTTTAATCAAAATATATGTCATAATATTCGATTTCCTTTAATCAAAATATATAAATGACTTTGTCCATTGTTAGGTGTATCCAATTACACGGTAAAAAGTTTTGTGTAAATAACAGTCCACTGAAATTTGTATTACTTTAACATGAGAATATGTTAACAAATACACTAGAGAAATGTATTCAATTGTATCAACAAATTCTTGTTTGGATAGGGGGGAATAAATATTTTGCTTATAAGAACCAAAGCAAAATGATAGCGTTCTTTCTTTTAATAATCGAGTTTTCTTGAACGGAGACGACACAATTTTTATTCAAACGCATAATATTTCGTTTAAGTACATGTTTCTACGAAGGAAATTTCAGTCAAATCAATGGAGATGCTAAATCTAAGGAAAACTTTTTCTCGCGATGACGCAAGCGACGAACAAGCGTCCCCTCCCCCCCCCCCGAAATGTCGGAGGAAAAATTTGGCATCGTTACCCACGGTAGCACGTGCTCCGGCGCGCACTCGCGAATTTCTGGCATCTTTACGCGCGTCCTTACGTCCGCGTATCCGCTAGCACGATCCTACGAGCGAAAGTACTTTTAGCGGCGAATTATCGGCGCACACGGCTCGCCGGTGGGAAGGAAGGATGGCATTCGGCGATTCCGGCGTCCGAACAGATTCGCTCGGTTCCCGTGCTACTACCCCGCTACCCGGGTTTTGCGGTTTAGCGAGGCGACCGCATGTCGGACACGTCTGATGAGATTACACCGCGAGATATCGGTGAGAAGCGGTAACTGACGTAACTGGAGTGAATTTCGTTTTCCTAAGCATTAATTCGCCCGTCGCACGTGACTCTCCGTCGGCTAGGACGGTCGTAATCGCCAATGGGATGTATTATTAATTCGTTTAGCATAGTCGGAACTTTCGCTCGTGCACACGCACACAAGAGCGCTCGGATGCCGCTTCGAATGCGAACTCGGTGCGCAATATTTTCGCGGAGACAAGTGTGCGCTCCTCCCTGCTCGATTATACCGAGTATCGACTCGGTGACCGAGTTCCTACGTTGTAATTCACACGGACAAAGCGCGCGCGAATCAAAGCCGGCCGTTATCGTTTACCGCGGAGTGATGGTCCGTGCGGCATGTCGGAGGCGTTTACGGCGCGATTATCGCCACTCGCGAGATATATCGTTGAAATGCGAATTGACGTAACTGGAGTAGCCTTCTTTTCTCTTCTCTCTGTGTGTGTGTGTGTGTGTGTGTGGGCTCTCTCTCTCTCTCTCTCCGACGATCGATCGCGAGAACTGCTGCCCACCTTGCTTCACCGATTCTACCGATTAGCAGATTGTCTCGCGTAGCTGTAAAACGAATTTTCGAACGAGGCGTGACACAGCAAATTACGCGTGCTGCAAATTGCAACCGTAATACGTTTCAACCGTGATTCAAATCGCCGGCTGGTACAGCTAATAGGCCTACGGGAACGCTGCGAGCTGTCAAAGGAGCTTAACGGTGCCTCTGAACTATTTTCTGGCCACGGTCCAATATCGATAAGTCTTGCAGGTTCGCGAAAGGAGCCAATAGCTCTCGCCATTTATTAAGAGTTTCTCGAGCGAGCTTTAATGGATCGCGAATGAGGACTCCATATAGAGATAAGAACTTATACGACACACATTAAGCCGCGAGAAGTAGACCCGCGCGAGAGGGACCCGAATGCACGCCTCGGTCGAGATTTATTAGTCGCATCGAGAGAATCGTCAGCGTGGGTAACGTCCAGGCTGTGAAAGATCGCTCTATGACGAAGTAGGAAAGTATAATATACGCGATGGAGAGGCGTACCGAGAGCTCGCCGCCGGCACTTTTCTCCCCGGGCTAATCGTTATGGAAAGTCCGCGGATAATATGGGACGTTGTGCGCCGCGGAATCTCGCAGGATCGGAGCCGCGCATCGTCGTCGTCGTTGTCGGCGACGTTGCTGAGGCGAGGAAAATAATACGAGCTGGGACACGGTACGAGCTTATCGCGGATCAAAATATATTCGGACATCCTTTTCGCGAGCGGGTTACCCTCGAGTGATATCCGTCCCCTGTGCATCGCTCGATTCGCGGGCGGCCGATAGGTGCGCACGATACGTCAAGTGAAAGATGTTCTTTCACAGTTGACGCGTCCTCCGATCGATGCGCACGGGAGAAAAGGAGTGAGATCGAAATGCCGAAGTCTCAACGCGTATCTAATTCTGGATATTCCTGTCTTGTGTTTCGATCTTGAAATATGAATATTCAAGTTTCAACGTAGAATATGTATACACATATGGTACAAATATTTTGCGTTTAAAAGCTAAACATTCGTACTTGAAGATCAAAACAATAAGAGTGCCCGCGTTAGGTACAGGCGTTGATGCTTTTGTTAGTCCTCGAGGGTAAACATTAGCTGTCTATATAATACAACTGAAATTTAATTAATTTAATTAATTCTTTTTGTCCCTGCATTTGGTTTTTAACTCCCGCGATTCTGGTGTAACATAATGGTCAGGTCTGGTATAAATTATAATATAAATAAGTTATTAAAAAGAATAATGTAAGCTAATTTCAGTTGTATTACGTGGACGGCTATTTCTTCTTTCCGTTTAGGAATAAAGATGTCGCGGGAGGAAGACTCGGGAAGACACCGCTGGAAGGCGGAAGTTTGCGTATCCGCGCGGATACGCTCTCCGGCCGGTCGACGGCGCGAATCTCTCGGATCGGCGCGACCGCTGAATTCACCGGCAGGACCTTTCCGCTTCGGATTCGATCGATCATTGAAAATCTCGCGGATGCAATATGGGACCGTCGCCGTCGTAGAATCTCGGTAGGATCGGTTCGGCACGTCGGCGACATTGCTGAAGAAAGGAGTGGTACACCCGTAGAGAGGATGGAAGAACGGTCGCGCTGCGCCAGTGTGAAGGAGATTGGCGAGACCTAACGGAGAGAAAGAGCTGGAACGAGAGGGAACGGGGGGGAAGGGAACGCGCGCGGACGCAAACGAGACGGACGCAGGTGGACGAGAGGGAGGGAGGAAGAGAGAAAGAGAGAGAGAGAAGGAGCGAGCGTGTGTGGGGAACGTGAGGGAGCGAGCGAGACGAAAAGAGGGACACGGACGCGAGACGGTGTTCGTAATCAAAGGGGCAATCCGCGCGGCCGCGGCGTGGAAGAAAGTCAGCCTACCGAGAGCGGCTCATCAGTCCGGCACGGTGCGGTGTCACGAATGCACGTCGAACCATCGATTTTCCGCGTGTCCACGCCACGTGATTCCGCCCCATACGCAAGTTATGCGTCCGTTCACCGGCACCGAGTGCAGCTCATCGGCCGAAACAACTCGACACCTCGATCGCTCGATCTTCCTCGTCGCGTACGCGCCAGACAGGGAGATCGCGATCTGTCGTGCCGATCGGGGATCCGCTTCTCGATAGGATCACGTGCGCACGCTACGGAGGATATCCTCCGAGATAATTCCACGCGGGGCACGCGGAACGCCGGCGAGGAGTGCGCGGAGGGATAAGAAGGGGGAATCGTGGATCTTCAGGATCGACCTGTACGAACCTGTGCAACGTGCTGGACCGTGGCCGAGGGTCGAGGGATTTTGCAATGCTCGCGAATGGCAGATGAATGGTATGTACCGGATGACGATAGTCTTGGGAATTGCGGAGAGACGCGAGAAAACATCTTGATAAGTCATCAAGGATATCACTATTTTCTCGTCTTCGGTCCTCCTTGTACTTTGCTCTTTGATATTTATGTGAGATTCGTTAATGGTAATAAGTCGATGCACTTGAAAGGAAATGCTAGGCATTGTAAAAGCAGGTGTTAGTAAATTTTGCGTGAACGATAACTACAGGAAGACACCGGAGTGGGGAAAAAAGAGAGAGACGCGTTGAAGAACTAAGTTAAATATCAACCGTGTTCTTTTAATGTCATGTTATATAAAACGTCGATTATATTAACGATATATTTAACAATTCGCGCGCGTTAAAATGTTATGAAATGTTATGTTATGTTCTGAGGTTGTTCGAACTAATAAGTATGACACGTGTCAAGCGGAATCAAAAGAATGTCCGTTTAATCCATTTAGCAACACTCTACGTACATTATACGGCTTCGGTGAGCGTCACAAAAATATCAAACTATATGCTGCTAAATATTTTCACTTTACGTGATAACCAATTAAAAAAATTTCTTAAAAAGCAACTATACTACGAGTTATTCGAAGAATCTCGAAATGAAAAAGAAAAGCAACAGTGCTTCGAGAATCTTCACATCGAAATAAAAAGTAGAGAAAGTCCATTTTATGTGAGAGGATGTTTCCATTAATTAAGAATATATTCCTCGTGCGAAACCAGTTTCAAGTTGTTTTCTTATCGAAGTCTGATTCGCCATCGAGGGTTCGCCGATGTGATTTTCTATACCCGCGAGGTACTCCCTCGTGCATAAATGATTATTCCCAATTCCGTGAAAGTTCCCGCGCGTACCTATCGCTTCGGGCAGGAAGCGTTCGTTGCAAAAGAAATTGTTATGCACGCGCAGAATCATCGTCCTGAACGCGATTATCTGTCCATCGAAGTTCCGACGTCGACGTAAGCGTCTCTTCAATAATTAACGTCAAGAAGGAATACCTTGAAGTAAAAATTATGATTTGCAACATTGTTGCTGGAAAATTCTCTGATAAAATGATATCACGATATTATTCGTTTAATCGGAAATTTTATGCGAACATTCTTCAAAAATATCTATAAATATATAAAATCTGAAATACAATAAATTTCCATTCGGCCATGCGCGAGCACCGTTTTTTGTTTTATGACCACTCTCTATCTCTCTTCCTCTATAGGAAAATTAAATTAGCTGTCCATACGATATACATATAAAATTTAATCACCCGACCTAGTTTTTGGTTTTTTAATTTTTGTGAGAACTAAAAACTAGATACGAGGACAAAAGAATCAGCTAAATCAATTAAATATCAATTATATATCATCTAAATATCAGTTATATCATATAAATATCATTTATATCATATGAACAGCTAATTTTTATCTGTGGAAGCGAATTTTTAGCTGTGAGAGTTAATTCTTTTTTCCTATATGGTAGCTTCAACGCATCATCCGCTCAGGATCGCTCGAATTTTCCTTTCCTGCATGCCTAAAAACCGCGCGAACTTTTCGGACGGCCCAATATCTGTGCCATCGGTGCATTGTCACGCGACATTCGGCAAACTCATTGAAAATCAGCACGAGACGTCCCCCATGAATAAAAGCCCGCTTGATCCTTTGGCGCTCATACATTTTTCCAGCGGCCTGAATCGTCTCTGTCCCCCCCGTAAATACACGCATTCTCATGCATATGATATAGTGACACGTAAATCGGCGCTCTATTGTGTCTTCGGTGCGTGCGGTGAGCACGCAGGTCACCGCGACGACGACGACGGCGACAATAACGACGACGAAATTGAATACCGTTTTTCCAGGACGGCTGGAACGCGGCTGGATTTCGATAATGAATGGAGCGCGTTGTCAAAATCCGCGGAGCGTGTCGGCGGCGAGCGGCCGTTGTTGCATAACGCGTTGTTGCGCGTCGCTTATGGCTGGGAAAATGCGGAATTCCGAAGGCGCGCAAGTCCCATTTAGCCGAGCGTGAGCATTTCCGCGCGTAACAGTCGCGAAGTAACGTTAATGGCCATCCGGTAGATTCGAGACGGCCCCTCTTCAGACGTGCAATTTATAACCCATTACGACATTCGGTCCCGTGCTTCCTCCCCCCCTCCTCCGGGCTTCTAATTACTTCGATTATCCGTTTAATATTAGTACGACGTGGCGGGCCGTGCGGCGGGACGTCGCACGCGAGCGCAATTCAGACGCTGGTACGACATTAACCCCGTCTCTGTCGCGGTGGCTCTCACGTGCTTTCCACCCATTATCCATCGAGGACTTTGCCCATGGGTGGCCATATAATGGCTGTACAGTTATATGCAAATGCTTTCCCACGCGCGCGCGCGCGCGCGGAATGTACTAATTAGAAAAAGAAAGCGCAACTCGCACTCCGCCCGTGCGTGTCCCTTTCATAAATTTACCTTTACGAGGTGTCGAGCGCGACATAATATTGCCTTATGGGACAGAGTGTGCCGTATATATATATATATGTGTGTGTGTGTGTGTATCGAGCGCGCAAGAGTTAAACGGAGCAGCGGATTAAACTGACGTCACCGCGAAGCCCGATTCGTTGGACGCGCGTTCGTTCGGAAATCGCGGCTCGGCCTCGCGATATTTTTACGAGGTTTCGGTGCCCATACACGGGACGGAGCAACACGGCGTATCGGGAGAATGTGGCGATCGGCCTGCGGCTACGAATTCCGTTACACGCACTTGTACGGCTCTCCTCGGATCTCCCTACGCGCTGCCCACGACGGACGAAATTTTTCTGTTCCATCTGCCGCGCGATCTCCGACGGCTGATCGAACGGCTCTCGAATCGCGGCCCACCGACGACGGCGGAAATATCGATCGGATGTGCGCGACGTACTTCCTCCTTTTGGCACGGTGTGAAAAAACGTAACGGTGCGCGCTGTCGTACGGTGAAAAAAAGGATTCGGCGACAACTACTCAAGTCTGGTGAATGTCCGCCGACCGAATATTTGATCACTGCGACCGATAATAAAACAATTCAATTCCGTACACTAAATATATAATATACGGAATTATAGTACCGTATGTATACAGTATGCGGAACTAAATTATTTGGTTATAGTAAACAGATGTTAGGTCGGCAAATATTCACGAAATGTTGATACTTGTTACCAGATCCCCTTCAAATCAGTGTAGCTGTTAAAGTCTCGCGCGGACGATATGACGTGATAAAAAGAATGATCATTGAAACCTCATTCGGAATACACAATTGTACTATCGAATATTCTAATGTGGAAAAAAAGAAATAAAAATACAAAACAAAGAGTTTTAAAATAATTGTGCGAGAAATGGAACGGCATGATATTTCGTTAAATGCACACGCAACGACGCGGGGAACAGCGCAACGCTTCGCGATCGTGAGAGTTCGACGAGCATGTATTTCATAAAAGTCAGTAAACTCGCGCTCTTTCCACGGGGTAACTAATTTTAGATTTACAACGTAACGCAGCAACTCATCGTTGCACTTGATTAGTTTGTCGGCCACTCTCCCGGTACTTTCCTCGGGAATCTCGCACGATTATTTCCAAGCTTCGCTACAAATACTGTTATGCAAAACAGGTATGTATTTTTTTTTACAGTGGACAATTTATATCGGCGCCTCTCGAATTCCCGTTCGGTCGAGCGGAGTCGCAAAGCGGAGCCGAGCGAAGCCGTGTTCGTAAATACACACGTGACGAATATTCGCATCCGGTATCGCCGTATCGTTTTTATCGCACGTTACACGCAGAAGGATTCTCTTTGTGCGAAAAGATTTGATATCGCCGAGGAGGAGAAGGAGGAGGATGGCTCGGTATCTAAAGTACATCTTAAATACGACGATAAGTCTGAGGGAACCTTCGCGATCAGCTGATTGCTCGACAGTGACCCCGGGTCAATCTACTTTCTACTTCTCACATTCTGGCGAGATCAGAGGTGATGTAGCGAGACGGGAGGCTGCGATGCCTTCGAGTGGAAGCGGACATACTTTCACGCGACGGACGGTATACATATCGTTAAAATTATCGAGATGCTGATGAGTGAAAACGGGACGGAGGCGGCGCGCGTTGTTCACCTGCCCGCGGAGAGAAAAATAAGCGGGGAGATTTATCGGCCGGGATACGCTCTCGCGAGGAGAGTATGTCCTCGCACGAAAGAATGTTTATGACGACTCGGGAGGGGAGCGGGGCCGCGAGGGATTCAACTTTGCAATTTGCCATGTGTGTGTGTGTGTGTGTGTCGCGCGCTCAATACCCGATAAATCTCGCGGCGGTGTGCGATGAAAACAACCGACGTGAGGGAACATTCGGCTTGAAAGTCTCCCGCAAGACTTTCAAGCGTACATTCTTATACTTTGTAATACGCGAAGTAATTCTCCGGAACCTGACGGGAGTGCCTCGGAAATAGTTCGGAAACTTACCCGGAGATGGGATCGAGCGTCTATATTGTTTTAATTGCTCGTAACATCGATGCGATTATAATTTCCGAAACACCTGCCGCGCCGAAGGTTAACGAGGAGCGAGGCGGAGCGAAGGTCATCTGTCGCGGCGAAACAAATGTCAAGCATAACAAAATACTACGCGCGGTAGTTGACGTTAGGTCGAGTCCGCACGAACGTCCTCGCGTCACAGTGTAATTCGTAACGACTCGTGTGCTCGGCTGTTTTGCTTGTAATCCGCGAGCATGTACAATCCGTTATCTATGTGTAATAATATAAACGGCGAAACGAGCGGGTACGACGCGGGGAGAACATGAAAGTTCCGCGTTAAGTTGGTCACGCGACTGCACGGTGTGTGGTTAAGATCGCTTAATGGTCGTCCGCGATCCTCGGCGCAATGTGACACGATTCGTCGGCATCTGTCCGTCGATCGTCGGTCCCGCGTCGCGGGCAAATGAATACGACTGGAAACTAGGCGCCGTGGAGAAGAAATAGCATGTTCTTTTAGCTGAACTACACTGCAAGTCGAAGTGTGTAATTTTACACGTAGTCACTTTTCACGCATTTGCACTACGTGCGTTAATACTAAAATCTTGTACGCATAAGTGTGTGAAAATTACACGTTTGGATTTGTCGTGTAATTTTTACACACTTATGTGTGTGAAATTGTAATTTTTATACTTATGTGTACATTAGTTATACATTAGTCCTTTTTATAGTTTTTTGCTGGTTTATTCCGAAGGATAAAGTCAGGAACAGAGTAAAAACCGGAATTTATCATGGTTTTTCCACCTGCCGGAATTTTCCGGTCAATCCTGAACGTAGTAAATTCCCTCGCGCACATACACACACACAAACACGTCCCATTTGCCCTTTGCGGTAATTTGTAACGACCCGACGAGTGCGCCGGTCACATCGAGCGTCTCGTTGACTTCCGCATTAGCATTGACACACCGCACGGAAATATTTACGGTGCGAATTAATCGGGGTTCTCTCATGCACGGGGAGACCCCGACGAGAGAGACCTGCTCCCCGATTACGCCACGGTGCGCCAATCGTCTACAAACGATTTGACCTGTTTCCAGGGAGTGGCTAACATTCCGGAGCATAAAGATCAACGAGCTTGCCATGAATTAAGAGCGACTCGGAAAATGGACGTCGCCAAGGGCACAACGGAGGAGTTCGTGACGGTGGTCAGCGTCGGCAGTCAACCGGCGCCGGAGAATTTCGTGACCGTTCTGTCGATCGGCAATGGCAGGAAGGAAGACGAGGACTCGTCGAGCAAGAGCCTGGCGAACGGCGTGGACGGACACCTCGAGGAGGAAGTCGAGGTGTTCAGGTTGCCCGGTGAACGTCTAGGCTTCGGTCTCAAGTTCGAGGGCGGCAACAAAACGTCCGAGAGGGTCAGGAGATTGTTCGTGCAGAGCTGCGCCGAGCAGAGTCCCGCCAGCAGGGCGAAGTGCTCGTGGGGCACCTTGGGCGAGGGAGACGAGGTACCGAGAGAGAGAGAGACTCCGATACGCGGATGTATTCCGGAAGCCACTGCTATCTCTCACGCGCTTTCGATTTTCCCCCATTTCCTCGATCCACACATTTATTTATTACTCAAATCTCTTTACTCCACCGGGATCCGCGAGACGAAGGCGCGTGCGAGCGACGCTGCTGCCCTGTAAATCTTACTTCTCCCGCGTTAACACACTTCTTCGGTGCTTTCGCTGAAACATTTTGTGCTGTAATGCGCGTGATAAATTCAAGAAAGTAGCGTCCATGAACATGTATGATTCCATTAATCCTAACGGTACGTGAAATCCCGGCGCGTCGTACGTGTCGCTTTCATTACGGAACCGACAGGTCTCATCTCGCGGCGGATAAAGATCACAATGGCCGGAGCGTTGGGCGCCTAACTGGTGTTTCAATGTCGGTATAATGAATGACGCGCAATTATTTGCACGCTCCGAGCCGCAACGCTCGCTCTTGCATCTGCGTGGCGTAATTTCCAGCGACTTGAATGCGCCCGGAGAGAGAGAGAGAGAGAGAGACGATAGAAATTCTCCAGCCGCCCGGCTGAATTCAGTACACGACCGACGGTGTCTGCTGCGTCCTGATATTTACGCCGGGGAAAAATCGGCTGCGGATTCCGCGCGCTTATCGCCGCGAATCAAGGTCGCGAATTGTGGGACGTCCCCGCGCGTGTCGCATTTTGTTTTCTTTTTCGCGGGCCGCACGAAGCGACGAAACGCGACGCCGGGGAGGCGTACACACTCTCTTTTTCGGGTCGCACGCTGTACCGGCGCAGCCGCCTCGCCGTCTATGATTTTCAAGACCCACTTCCTGCGTTATGATTCCCAAGAGAGGTTCCCTCTCACCTCTCACGCCGCTTGTTTACTCGCGTCGCGAATCGTCGTAATAAGCCTGACGCGCGGCTTCCTCCGACGCGCGATAATCGACGTTGCGTCTCTTCCAGGTGCTCTCGATCGACGGTATACCGGTGACACACATGACCCGGTTGGACTGCGTGAGGAGACTGAAGGAGTCGCAGCTGGTCATCAGACTGATAGTGAGATGCCGCGGCGCCCTCAGGCCGGAAGTGGTGAGCGCCGAGAGGAAAATGTCGACGGAGAAGAGCAAGGTGCCGCCGGAATTACCGGCGGCGCCTCCGCCTGTGCCGCCGAGGAAACTGAGACAGCCGCGAGGATCAGCGGACGGCGAGGCGAATCCCAGCCCCGTGAAGAAATCGTGGGACAGCTCGAGGTCGCAAAACTCGTCGGTGAACGGATCGCAGAATAGTTCGCCGGCTTCGCAAGCCGGGCTGCATTGCGTGGTGAAGACCAGCTCGTACGAGAGCTGCGAGTCTTCGCCGAGGAGCGGCAACGGCTCGAATCAGGAGAGCCCGAAGGACCGCTCGCCGGAGCTCTCGAAATCGAAGCAGGTAACGATATCGGCACGGAGAGGGTAAATTCGCGGAATGTTTCAGAGATTCATCGGATTCGAATGGACTGAAGGGGGATTATTTTTCACCTTCAATCTCTCCACGCCGCGAAAGTCTGAAAAGTGACGATTTGCTTTTCTTCTTCAGGAACCGCCGGAAGCGATGGTTTATCTGGACGCGAGATCGCAGTGCGGCTCGACGCACGGCAGCACGTCGGACGACACCGGCAGCTCCATGTCCACCGTGGTCGACAGATTCTCGACGTCCGATCGCGTCTCGACCATCTCCACGGCGTCCTCGGCGTCCACCGCGTCCGAACAGCCGGGCGAATTCTCAGGTATCGATCGAGACTTGGAACGATCGTCCGATCGAGATGTATTGCTGTCGCGAGCGATTTGTCCGCTCGAGCATCTCGAGCGGGACTTCTCCGCGAACCCGCCCGACTACCTGCTCCGTCGTCTCGCCAGTTCGGAGGCGGTGACGCACGTGGAGTCGCGGGGCGAAGTCGAGAGGGTCACGGCGGTGGTCGCGCCGAACACGGTGCTGATCGAGGAAACGATCACCCTTCAGCCGCCCCTCAGCTTCCAGGACGCCCCGCTGAGTTACGGACACGAGCCTCGGCCGGATCTCTTCTACACGGCCGACCTCGCCGCCGACTCGACCACGCACTTCAGGCCGATCAAGGACGACGTGGAACTCGTGGAGCGCGTCAACGAGGAGGAATTCCACGAGGCGACCGGCACGGAGACGTGCGAGAAGAGCAATGGCGACAGACTGTCGTCGTCCTCGTCCTCCTCGTCGTCGCCGCCGCCGTTGCCGGCCAGAAATCACGTTAACAGGATCTGCGTGAACCAGCCGACGAGCGAACTCGCGAGCGAGACGCGTACGTCGCGAGTCTCCGCGACGGTCTCGCCCGAGAGGGAACCTCCGGACGCGCCTCTGTTACCGCCGAAGCCGTTGCCGAGGAAGGATGTTAAGGCCAGACGGAAGAGGCCACCCCCGCCACCGCCACCGCCGACCATAGCACCGCGAAGAGAGGCCAAGCCCTCGGCCGAGTCGAATCAGGCGACGGAGGGAGAAAACGGGGATCTTTCGCAGGCCGAAAACGCCGAGTACGTTCAACCGGGGTCGTGTAACTCGTCTTCGCCGAGCAGAAATAACGTTCATGACGAGAAATATCAAGGGAACGTGGAAAGTACATGCGAGAACTTCGAAGCCGCGGTGAAGAGCGTCGATAGCGAGACAGGTGTCGCAGCCTCGGGAGAAGACACGCAAACGAACAAGGTTTTCGAAATTATCGAGATCAGAATAGCCAAAGGTCTGCAGTCCAGCCAGAAGGAGGAAGTCGCGAAGGACGAATCGGGCAGCGCGTCCGAAGCGGTGAACACTTGCGAACGAACGACCGCCGCGGAGCAAAGCGAAGTTAAAGACGAGGTAATTGGCAAACAAGAGCAGTCTGCGAGTGATTCGAGCAGAATTCCGACGGAGCGTCAAAATTCGAATGTAGAAGCGGGTGAAAAACGTACCGACGAGAACGACGAGAAAGAAAAATACGTCGACCCCGAAAGAAACTACGGGGAGAAAACTAGAGCGAATACCCGAGATATTTTTAAAGAAGGATTTCCATCCGGCGGAGAGGTCGATAACCCGGTGCTGCGGGAGAACGAGGACGACGAAACCTACCAATCGCTGGACGAGGTGAATGACGACATGAGAACTCCGGAGGTGAATCGAATGCTGGAGGATGAGGAGATTATGGACGAGGAGGAAGACACAACCGACGAGAGCGAGGATGGCGATTATTATTGGCAGAGCAATCTGGCTACCATCGGCGAGGAGGAGGAAACCAACTCTTTGGAATATGTGAACGCGTGAGTTTATAATTATATACTCGGCACGTCGAAATATGCGGAGAAAGAAGTGAAAAGTAATCGGGAGCAAGTTTAAACTAGGTTTTAGAAGTATCAAGGTGGAAAGAAAATTGCTTATTTATTTATTTATACGGAAATATCCACGAATAGGATGTGTGTACATATATATATATATACACAAATGTACATACAAAAAAACTGTTATAAAAATATTATATTAAAATTATAAGATAAATAGCGGATCGCGTTATCTTGACATTTCCTCATCGAATAAATGATGTTAAGATCAGTCACTTTTGATTACCTTAAATATTTGGCAAACAAATTACAAACACACTTTGCAGACGAGAGAAAATTACATAAATATTAATATACATTTCAATACGTGGCGATTACAGTATCCTACTGTACAACTGTACAGAATGGTTACGCTTAGCTTGAATGAAGTATACGATTAGTTGCGAAATGAGTCGCTAGAAATTGTCTTGGGAAATGGATTGATATAGAACTTGCTAATGTGGCGCACGCGTAAATGAACTTTGCAAAGAAATTAATTCGCTTTCTTTATGGATATGGGTCACCTGCCCCGCGTGCGGCATATGTAGAAAAGGTTAATTGACCGTTCTAAGAATAGGAAAGAGGGCTGTCGATTATACTGGGAATCGAAACAGCCGGTCGTTCGATTCGACCGTCCCACGGAGGTGAACGCCTCCATGCAAATGCTCGACATTTGCTTATTGCTTCGAGAAGCAATCTCTCCTTCTTTGCATGACGTTGCAATCGTCTCTTCTAAACTATTCGAACAACGGTCGCTGTTTATCAGATCCGGTAACGGAGAGCTCGGCGTGTTGAAATTCAACGTTCACACTTTAACGAGCCGATATTACATTCATCGTCGAATTTCGGATTTCTCACTTTTAATATCGTTACGGAGAGATGCGGGCGATAAGCACGTAGAGAACGGTAAGCAGTCGGAGAAAATGATTTTCTCTCATCTGTTACAGCAACACGGACGCGGATGATTCCAGTGAGTCGCCGGTGGTGCCGGAAGAGTCGCCTCTTACAATCAAGAAAGAAACATTCGTTAAAACCGGTGAGCCCGTTTAGTTTACACTAATTAACGTCAAAACGGCGACTTAAGCTGAATGAAGCGCAATTTATCCAATTAAAGCAGGAATGCGAGGTCAGCGCGGAACGATTAGAGAAAGAGAGAGAGAGAGAGATAGAGCTCCGCGTTCGCTAATCAGCGGAACGCAGCAACAAATCAGACATTTGTGTCGATTAAAGCGGACGCTGCGCAAAAAAGTTAGCGCCGTCGCTAGCTCGAATCGCGGCGACCTTGAGCGATTAATCGATCGGATTCTACCTCGATCGGTGGAAGACCGCCCGCGTTTTTGCACCGCCGATCGAAGGCGCCGATTGGAGACCGATTGGGAAATCGACGGCCGCGCGACGAAGAAGCGGGGAGGAAAAGAAGGTGACATTTTTAAAACCACCCACCGGATGCACACACCCGGAGGACACCCGGTATACACGCCCACGCTACCGTGGCGCGCCGCGTCGAGTAAAGGTTACGCATTAATCACCTTGCGTTACGCGCCCATACAGTTCTCCGGTTTCGCGCGCGGGTACCTACATTCAAAACGGAGGCAGGTCGAATCGAGACAAAGGCGTGTAGCGGCGCGCCTTCTCCTCCTCGACTCGGGAGAAATTCTTATTCACCGGCCAGTGCATACCAGTATTTTCGCGCGGATGACTCGACGTTCGCGTTTCCTCCTCGCGGCCTCACTTCGCGCGCGCGCGCGTAACACTTGGCGGACATGCGGCCCGATGCATGCGCGACGCAAAGCACGCCGCCGCGCACAAAGAAGACGAGGGGAATCGCGCCTCGTCTTTCGGAGTTGCGTCTGTGTTGTCGGGGTTCGTGGCCCCTCGCAATTTACCTCCTCCTCCGATCGCCGCCACGTCGGAAAACGTCTCCGTAATTTTCCGTCGGCATTGGAGGAGCACTTATCCTCAATAAGACACGCGTAAAGTACACGCTTTCCGCGCAGGAGAAAAGGGACGCGTTATCCCACGCTCGCGCGAGCTCAGGGCAAAAATAACCGCCGATGTGGATCGCCATGTGATCGATCGGACGTAAACGTGTCGACTAATCCCGTCGCGCGCGCCGGAAATCGAACCGCGCGAGAGCGATAATTCGCGCTCCTCTACGCGCCCTACGGAGAGAATGTGTTAGCAGGAGCTACGATACGACCCACGCGATCTCGCTCGGTCTTTCCCGCGCGCGTTCCTCTCTTTTTTCCTTTTTTACACGGGGGATAGCGGATGCACACAGCCGGGGAAGGTTCCGGGGGCAGGGATAAACAAAGCGACGCTAATGGAAGGAATTAGCGTAGACTAATAAGGATACCATAATGAGACGTTTGTACAATAATTAATTCGCGCGGTATTTTTCCGAGACGTATCGATCACGTCGAGCACCGTAACGTTAGAAGCGGCGTGTAATTTTCTAATGACGAGTCTTCACTTCCCCCAGCGCGATGTCGACATTGTTTTTATCCGCGTCCTTCTATCTCTCTCTCTCTCTCCCTCTCCCTATTTGCAACGCGAGCGGCGCGATTCCCGAAGCGAATCGCGCGATAAGGAGTGGATCGGTGGATCTCTTACCGGAGATCAGTGACTTTGCCGGACGCTTTGTAAAGCGGGAAATAAGGAAATTCCATCGGCACGGTCTCTGATCGGCGCCGCGTGCTCCGCTCGCTCGATTCCCAAGCCGCTAGGATGTGGGTGTGAGAGCAAAACCGTTAAGAATAATTCGAGAATCGCGGCTTCACCAGTGATCGGCGCGATGCTCGCGCGCGGGCGCGTCTCCTCGCCGGCGCTAACGAACAGTCGAAGCCGCCGGAGAAATAGAGAAAGAGAGAAAGAAAGAGAGAGGGAGAGAGAGAGAGAGAAAGGTTCATATTAAATGCGAAATTTTACGGTCAGGCGCCTCTCGCTGCGCGCGCGTTTCAACCGATCGTTTTTCCAACGCACCGACGTTTCATTCCTCAACCCTGTTAAATATGGAGTCGTAAAAATTCTCACGGCATCCATTGCACCCACCGTCTCGACGCGAGGAGAGTCTGGCCACTTCGGGAACACGTTGCGTCATTTGCGTCGCGCCTTCGAGCTCCTTTCATCTCGAGCTCTCGAGTCTGCGAGAACGCGAACGGAGCTTTCGGAGGTGATAATAATAATAATAATAATAATACGTCGCAGAGTCGCGCGTCAACAAATAAACGATCGAAGAGAAGAAGCTCATAAATTAGCTCGTGAGATTAGTTCGCTTTAAACACGAATCTCCCTCTCGGAGATCTGCGAAGGTGCGAAGGCCGGCGCGATCAGAACGCTAATGATATAATACGCGACACGCTTCATTTGAATAACGTGTCGTCGCACGATCGTCAGGGAACGAGACGGGGGAAGGGGGCCGCGTCGGGTTCCCAATTACCGTCGCTCTCGGCGATTCCCTAAGTCCTCCGTTAATTACCGCGTATCTCACATTGTTTCCTGACGCATTTACGATCGATTCGGCGCCGTCGACGGCTCACGCAGCCGTTATAAACGCGAACGCGACCAGGCTCCGGCGAACCTTTACTAGTCACAACAATATGGCGGTCCCGAACGGCAGTCCTCCGTCGAAGTTCTTCCAGTGGCTGACCGCGCTCAAGGTCCCCCGTTCCCCTTTAATCGCCTTCCTTTTCGAGATCTTTCACTTGGTTCCAATCGAAGAGACGGCGATCTCTGACGCATACTTACGTACTGACGCGTGTTGCACGCGCGATCGTAGAAGAGACGGCATTCCAGCGCGCCGCCGGCCGGCACGAGTCCTGCGCTTACTAGTATACTGACCCAAAGATAACAAACGTCGTCCCTCGATCGGCCGACACTTATACAAATCTATTGCTAGATCAGGCACCGATCATTCTCTCTCTCTCCTTCTCTCTTTTGCTCTTTCCCTCCTCTCGAGACACCGCTCTCTTCGCGTCTCTTCGAGGCCGGAGAGTCCCGCCTCGCTCGGCGTGGACGTTTTATTTCGTGTGTTATCGCTTTGTAGCTCGTTATTCGCCACGGAATAGCTTACCGAGTCGGTATTCTCTGGGAACAACACGGAGATGTGTACATGTCCCTCGTGATTTCGAGAGATTGATCAAACGGCCGGCCGGTGAATCGACGAAGGAGGATGACGCGATTCTACCAGGTGGGTCCATTTTGCGAGTTTACGTCGCCCCGAGCGTCGAAAGATGAAAAGTGGCGATCGTTAACGTAACGCGCCACTGTACGACCGCTAATTCTTGATCCTCCGCTGAACCATCGATCTTCCGCGCGACGTGGAGCGGCGGACTCGCTCGTTAATGTTACGTAATTGCGCGATCCGAAGATACACAGACGAAAAGCACATTCCATAATTCCAGTCGAACTATGCGGCTATCAGCGTGCGAGCGGCTGTTAAGGGGCTTCGACCTTTCCCAGGCGATCCGACCCGCCCGTTTCAATTTGCGATTGCGAAGGGCGACGATTAGTCTTGACCTCCCGAGACGAGCTCCCCGTGTCCGGGTAATTAGTTGAATAATCGATTCCCGGTGGTTTTCCATTAAATATCGATACGCACAGAATTTCCCCAGGCGGTCTCCATTTTATCCGGACTACATAACTCGACGGTGCCGGCCTTAAGATTACTCGCGTCCGACGTCAGTTTCAATCTACGATCATAACCGATCGTAATCTCGGCCCGTATAGAAAATGATTCGCCATTCAGAACTGAACGGAACTGTTCGCGGATACACGCGCGTTGAGGGAAAGAAGAACAACGGGCAGATTATCAGTAAACGGGATAACGGGTTTGAGAATAGCGTGTTTAGGAAGTTTCGGAATACAAAGTAACGCGAAGTTCTAAAAACGTATAAAAAACATTTTTCTCATTTCTAACACGTTGAGTGCCAGTTTCACGTGAATTGCCATTCACGCCGCGTGGACTACCGATGGTCTACGTTACCGTATTTATTATAAGGTGTATCTTACAATATTTATCAGACTATACAAAAATCATTATTATGAAGAAGGACAGGTAACGTAAAATGCATGCGCGTCATGCAGCCTGAATGAAAAGCCCAACGTGGGCCACTAAAATTTATCTCTCGACGACGGATAATTCCGCAGTTTTCGCGGCCCCGAGAAAGACCGAGAGGAGATTGCTTCCTGAGAATTCGCCGAAAAATAACCAAATGAGAGGAGAGCGCGCAATTGGCTCTGAAATATCCCACATCCGCGCTTTAAATAACAACCGATTATCGGACACTCGCGATCTTCGTCGTGCGGAAAAACTAGGCCACGTTTTGTCACGCTAGCGCGTTGAAAGAGTCGCGCGCTCGCCGGCAAAGCGCGCTTAATGCATCCGATCGAACGAGAGCTGCATTCCATTGCGCCAGCTCGAACGGTGCACGCAGCAAACCCGCCTAAAGATGACTCGCCCCGTTCAAGATCGGCCGGTATCAACGAATTCGACAAAGTGTTTCGCGGCCGTTGAACGGGAAATTACGACCGGCGCTGGAAATGGAAACACGTTTGCCAGCCGTGAATTACGTTACGCGTGTTTCTCAGAGGCAGGATGGGCATTATCCTAGATCGCGCCGGAGAATCGAGCTTGAGCTTGACAGAAAGTCGACACGAAGAGGTAACTCATTGTTATCCGTTTGGCATGAGAGGGAGAGAGAGAGAGAGAGAGAGAAGAGAGCGAGCGGGAAGGAGAGAGAGACGAGGATATTCCGTTCGCGGAGTCAGCCGTGGTTGAAAGCATTCACTAAGTTGCCTATGTAGGCATATCGAATAAGTAAGATCCGCGGGACGACATTCCGTTGCAGCAGCACCCGGAAGCGCCCCGCGCGCACCGATGTCAATATAATTAGCCGCGATGCGTCATACTTACCCGCGGATCGATCTCTACAAAGCAGACCGGCGACAGGATTACTTCCACATCGAGAAGTGCCGAGAGGAAGGGCGGNATCGTATAAATAAATAAACGTGGAATCGCGCGACGTGCTCGTTTTG